TGGGAGCCAAGCTCCTGAAGGGTGATTAGTAACATATTCTCTCTTCAGTGTGTCTTAGGACATTTGGAATCCATTAAATATTCAAATCTAGTTTCTTTCAGATCTCTGGCCAGACCCAGCAGGTTTGTTGGGGGAAGCGTTGAAGGCAGATAACTACTATTCCTTACACTTAAAATCTATAGCTGGAGATAGATTTTAAAAAATATAATTCCAAGGCTTCCTGGATCTACAACAAATCGTCATTAAATTAGAAATGATATTGATAAACAACAGACTTATTAAGAAATAGTAAACAGAGTATACAGGAGAATTACTACCATAAATGGTATGTTAAAGACAAACAAGTAAGTACATTGTTTCCAATTATGAAAGATGCTATCAACTAGCCTTGGACTTAGAAGACGGTACTAATTGTATAAATACAATGTTGTTGTTGTTACTGCAGTTGAGTGGCCCCGACTCATAGCGACCCCCCCCTTGGGTTTCCGAAGCAGTATCACTACAGAAGTGGATTGCCCAACCTTCCTTCTGAGGAGTGACTGGTGGGTTTGAACCGCCAGCCTTCTGGTTAGCAGTCAAGTGCCCTAGGCACCATGCTACCAGGGCTCCTATAAATAGAACGGCCCAAGAATAAGGATACTGTTTACATATTGTAAAGAATTAAAAAAATAAAAAAAATTTAATTAAAAAGAAGAAATAATGGAGAAAATGTAGCCCACAAACCATTAAATACTTACAATCTGGTACTTTACAAAAATAATTGTAAAGTTGACCCTTGGTTTAAAATTATGTTTTTATCATACGTGCTCACCTAACCATTATGAAGGAGCCTGGATGGTACAAATGGTTTGTGACTGGCTAAACCTAAAGGTTGGTGGTTTGAACCCACCTAGGAGCTCTGGTAGCATAGTGGCTAAAGCACTTGACTGCTAGCCAGAAGGCTGGCGGTTCAAACCCACCAGCCACTTCTTGGAAGGAAGGTTGGGCAATCCTACTTCTGTAGTGATACTGCCTGGGAAACCCAAGGAGGGGTCGCTATGAGTCGGGCCAACTGAACGGCAAACAACAACAACAACAAGTGGCTCTGATGGCGTAGTGCCTAAGGCACTTGACTGCTAACCAGAAGGCTGGCGGTTCGAACCCCCCAGCCACTCCTGGGAAGGAAGGTTGGGCAATCTACTTTCGTAGTGATACCGACTCCGAAGCCCAAGGAGGGGTCGCTACGGATTGGATCCGACTCCATAGCAGTGTGTTGCGTTGCATTACTGGCTCCTTGGAAGAAAAGGCCTTGTAAACTGCTCCATAAAGATTATAGCCAAGAAAACCCTAGGAACGGTTCTACTCCGTAATTCATAGGGTCACCATGAGTCGGGGGCCAACTTGACAGCGGCTAACAACAATCATTACTAATTACTATTACTATTAATAGCAGTACTTAGGTGCATCAGGGAAGGGGGGATGGATGAGTCCCAAATGTGCCAGACACTCTGCTGCACATTTTACTTACTGTCACTTTTATTCCTAGAGCAGTCCTTTAAAGGAGACATTCATATCTCAGCGATGGAGATGAAAAACTTAAGCACAGTGCGATTAAGTAACTTGCCAAGGACACATAATGAGTTAAGTAAGCAGTGGAGTTGTTAATAAAACTCAATGTAGTTGTGTTTTTCAGCAATGAAAGCCCTTTCCAATTAAATATTATTCAACCAAACAAAACCCACTGCCATCAATTCTGACTCACCAACTCTCTAGGACAGAGAGGAACTGCCCCATAGTGTTTTCAAGGCTGTGAATCTTTACAGATTAATCTTTAATTTATTAAATCTTTCTTTATAGAAGCAGACTGCCACATCTTGCTCCTGTGGAACGCCTGGTGTATTCAAATCGCTGACCTCTGTTTGTAGCTGAGTGCTTTAACCACTGAACCACAAAGGTTCCTAAATGTTACTTAGCACCCCTCTATATAAAATAACTACTCTAAGAGAAGTTGGGGCAGTGGGCCCAACATTCTCACCCCTTCTCAGAACACCTTGCTTGAAATAGAAGTCACTTTCTCAGAAAAAGGAAGCCAAGAACCAGCCTGGAAAATAAGTTTTCAACTCATTTATTCCTAACATAGGAGCTCTGGTGGCATAGTTTCTAAGGCATTTGACTGCTAACCAGAAGGCTGTTGGTTCAAACCCACCAGCCATTCTTCAGAAGGAAGGTTGGGCAATCTACTTCGGTAGTGATACTGCCTTGGAAAGCCAAGGAAGGGTCGCTATGCGACCAAGGAGGATCTGACTCGACAGCAGTGAGTTTGGTTTTGGCTATTCCATAACATAGTGTATTTCAGGTTTCCCTCTAACAATATTTTGCTGAGGGTAAGTATCCAAACAACAGTTGCCACTCATTCATTTCTTTGCCTAGATAAATAGTTAGATGTGAGTCAGCAGACGGGAGAAATAGAGGAAAAGGTTTGAAAAAATTTCTTTAAATAAAATCTGATTTGTTATACTATAGCTATTAGTCCTCTCCTCAATTCCATAAAGCACTGGGGTGGGAAGGACATCTTCCAAATGGCATCTCATTTTACCTTAATAGTGGGTGTTTCCAGATGAGTTTCTAGGTTTTCACCATGATAAATTAATATATCCTACTTTATTATGGTGCCACAAACAAGTACTCTGAAAGGTTCAACTCTTAAAAAAGACCAAAATCCCCAGAAAAGCATCAAGTATCAAAATGAAGCCAGAAAAGATGATATTAAATGAAAAAAAGAAAAAGAAAGAGCTCCTTTTTAATGAAGTCAAGGTGTAGGACAGATTTATTAGCTTCCATTTTTCCAAGTTGCATTCTAGTACATTTCCTGCCCATATTTCTAAGTTCAGCAGGTCTTTCTGTAGAATTACTTTCTAAAAAAAAGGTTCAAAGAAAATGATGCAGCTATACCTACTACACCTGGTGTGACACACCTGTGATGATACAAACATTGTTTCTTATATTCACAACCCAATGCTTTAACAGAAAACAGACCAACTGTATGGTCTGCTCAGATCTTGCCATTATTGAAAATAACTAATATTGGAACTAGGTATTATACATGTATTTTAAAATAATAACCAATCAAGGACTAGCTCTGATCAAAAGGATCAGTAAAATCAGTGTACTGTATCTTTTACTGTTATAATTCCTTTTCCTAAAATTAGGATATGGCTAAAACAAATAATTAACAGTATTAAGTAGGTAATTTTGTTTCTATAGCACAGATTCCCACAATAAATCTAGACTCAATTACTTTAATGCACCCTATTCATTATTTATAGGAGCTCTGGTAGCATAGTGGCTAAGGCACTTGACTGCTAACCAGAAGGCTGGCGGTTCAAGCCCACCAGCCTCCTCGAAAGGAAGGTTGGGCAATCTACTTTCGTAGTGATGTTGTTGTTGTTATGTGCTGTGGAGTTGACCCCGACTCATAGTGACCCCTCTTGGGTTTCCGAGGCAGTATCACTACGGAAGTAGATTGCCCAAACTTCCTTCCGAGGAGTGGCTGGTGGGTTTGAACCGCCAGCCTTCTGGTTAGCAGTCAAGTACCTTAGGCACTATACCACCAGAGCTCCTTCGTAGTAATACCGCCTGGAAAACCCAAGAAGGGGTCACTATGAGTAAGATCCGACTCCACGGCAGTGGATTTTGTTTTTTCCATTCATTATTTATTAGATGTCTATGGTGTACCAGATACTTGATTCTAGAAGGAAGAAAATTAGTAAAACAGTTCCTTTTCCTGAAGAATTCTAATTATCTAACCATGTACTAAACTCCTAGTAAAGCTACCAATATAGTTACCAGTGGAAACAAAGTAGAAAGAGAATTAGTTTTGCCTACAGGGATTGGAGAAAGGATGATACTTCAGAGTAAATTTAAAGGGTAAATAGAATTCCCAGTGAAGGGAAGAAGGGCATTCCAGACTGGAAGAACAATATAACCAAAGGCCAAGAGAGGCGAGTGAGTGGGTGACTAGTCTATACTGAAAGCCAGGTTACAATATGGAATGACTAGTGTTGTGCTGCCCAACATACAAGTCATTAGCCACATGTGCTTATTTAAATTCAAATTAACATTAAATAGAATTAGAAATTCAGTTCCTCAGTCACACTAATCATATTTTAAGTCTCAATTACCACATGTCTAGTGTTTACCATATTGGTCAGCATAGACAGAATTATTTCCATCATTGCAGAAAGTTCTACTGGACAGTGCTAAATATGGGTGCAAGGTAAGCCTGTGGCCAGTTCATAGTCTCAAACATATATCAGAGTTTAAACTTTAATCTAAGTAGAAGTGATTTATAAATTAAAAAAAAAATTTCCTTCAACAACAGCCTTGGGGAACACTACCCCAATAGCAGTGCTATGGCCTGTTTTAGCCATTCAGCTTCTACATTAGGGTAAAAGATTTAATTTGAAGAAAGAACCTTCTGTTATGGGCAATGGGAAACCACCACATTTTTTAAGCAGGTTAGTAACACAATTTGATTTGGGCTTTATATATTACCACCCAAAACAGTACATAAGATATATGAGAAGAGACTAGAGATACCAAGATCAATAGAGAGAAATGATGGGGAGATGATAAAAGACTGCATATGGTGAAGCTTAGAAAGAAATACACAATTAAGAATATGCACCAATAAATTTATTCTACATAAGAATTGTGTGCACACGCTAGGCATATTTATCCACACAAAAGTCAATATTATTGTTAATACTATTTAAAACTTTGGCCATGAAACTCAAAGATGTATCAAAAACTTCTCAAGGTATCATTTGTCAGTTACTGAGTTTCTCTATTTGTAATCCATGCTTGCCCAATTATAATTTTTATAACACTCTATAATTGTATTATTTATACTTTATGACCTGCTGGTTGAAATTTTAGGCCCTCCAAAATAATAATTGTTCAATAACTTCAAAATATTCACATGTAACTCTTAGCACTACTATATAGTAAAACTGAAGTTGTTTTTTCAAGTAGCAAGTGATCAAGCCATACCACTCCAGGTCAAGGATACAATTCACATTCAGTTTTATAAACAAACAAAACTCTCTTTTACCTCTTGTCTCTATTTTAATATGCCAACCATCACCTCACTGATATCCCAGAGTTTTCTTGCAACAGACTCATCCATAGCTTTGGGCAATAGTTCTTCCTCTTTACAATCCCCAAAGTACTTTCCTGACACGCCTTCTACCTCAGGTGAAGAGGCTAAATAAATAGAAGTCTGGGCACCTTCTACTGGAGTTTTGAAAAAGGCCCATGACACCAAATTGAAAAGTGGTTTGACCAGCAGTGGAATGTTTATGTGCCTCCCAAGATTAGTTCGTACAATACCAGGATGTAATACATTGACAGTAACGTTTGTACCCTCTAAGCGCCGGGCTAGTTCTCTGGTAAAAAGAATGTTAGCTAGTTTACTCCGACTATAACAAAAACTTCTATTATAGCTTTGTTCACTGTTCAGATCTTCAAAGTTGATGTCTCCATATTTATAAAGTTTGGAAGAAACCACCACAATCCTGCTTGGAGCTGAACTTTTGAGGAGTCCAAGAAGAAGATTGGTGAGTAGGAAGTGCCCAAGATGGTTCACTCCAAATTGCATCTCAAAGCCATCTTCAGTCTTCATATAAGGGCACTGGAAGATCCCTGCGTTATTGATCAAGACATCCAGCCTTGGCTCTTCCTTTACATGTCAAAGAGAGAGTAGCAGAATTATAAACACAGGCCTTAAACTACTTGTTCTGTTCATGATAAATACGTTTCAATAAAAAAGGAACTGCAGATTAAGAGTTTTCAATTTCATCTGTTAGCTTATGAATCAGAGAACTATTTGGAACATTAGCAATTTCATTTTTAATTAGTGGAGGAAGGGATTCCTTTGTAGGCTGTTTCTGAAATAAATACTAATATTTATGATATTAATGACCGCATATTCAACAGCTTCTTTTTCTCACTCATTAAAATGATACGCAGAAAGATACATATCCATAGAAATGTGCCAGTAGGAGATTTAGATATTGAATCTAAGCCTTTATTTCTGATCTTATGCTTTTATAACTTACGGATATTAACTAATATATATATTTTATTTCACTAGAAAGTTGACTATCTGATCAGTACCAGGATCTTTCTTAAAACAGAGGTACAGTTAATTTTGAGCAGGTATATGTTAGGCCGAAGCAAACCCAAGCCACCAACATTTCAGTTAGCAGCTTCCTCCGGGTGTCAAGCCCTGATGAGACAGCCTGATAAGACAACGGAAGTGACAGAACTCGCCCAGACTGGAAAGTCCCATGCAGTAGCAAACTTCCTCTTGTGAAGCCCCCTCATGCTAATTAAGTGCAGACCCATGCTAACAGCTAATTGGACCCCACTATTTCCTTAGTGTCCCCGCTTAGGTCCTCCACAAGACTATAAACCCTCCCCTCCCCAGCCAGGTGGTGCGACTTCCCAGGCCCCTCTCAGGGACCCGTGAACCTTGCCCGGGCCCCTCTCCGGGACCCGTAAACCTCACCCGGAAACTCAGAATAAAAACTTCTCTTTAACCTCACTTTTGTGCGTCCTCTTTTCCTTACTGTGGCCTTAAAGTATACTCCTCTTAATTCCAGATTTCTCCTTTTAAATTCAGGTAAACTATGAAAATATCAATTTGGGAATTATCATATAAATATTCAGATCACAATAAATGCATCTGTGATAAAATTTATAAAAAAAAGTCTTGAAAACTACTAAAATTCTATTAAATGTCTGAGTTTTCAACAATCGAGAAAAAATGAATTAAAAAAAAAAAAAAAGATTTGCTTGCTTCACAAGGGCCTGGCCTTGTGCTAAGTGCTTTTTGCATGTTACCTCATCTACTACTCCCAACAGCTCTCTAAGAAAACTAAAATACAGAAGGCAGATGAATTGCCAGTGTCACAGAGCTTGTTGTTGTTGTTGTTAAGTGCCGTCGAGTCGTTTCCAACTAATAGCGACCCCATGCACAGCAGAACAAAACACTGCCCGATCCTGCGCCAGCCCCACAATCCCTGCTATACTTGATCCCATCATCGCAGCCACTGTATCAATCCATCTCGTTGAAGGCCTCCCCCTCTTTCGTTGACCCTCCACCCTACCAAGCATGACATCCTTCTCCAGGGAATGGTCCCTTCTTACAACATGACCAAAATAGGTGAGACGAAGTCTGGCCATTCTTGCTTCCAAGGAGCATTCTGGCTGCACCTCCTCCAGAGCTTACAAGTGGCAAAACAAAAGCCTGAAGATGAAATTTTTGATACCAATGTTGCTTCTGTTGATGACTAAACCACCCTGCCTCTCTAATTGGGATTTTTAAACCATTGCTCAAGAGTCCCTGTGACCTAGAGTTGAGATACAAGAGAAGGCAGGTCTACACTGTTTATTTCCAGAGCTACTAGCTCTGGTAGCATAGTGCCTAAGGCACTTGATTGCTAACCGGAAGGCTGGTGGTTCAAATCCACCAGCCACTCCTCAGAAGGATGGTTGGGCAATCTACTTCCACAGTGATACTGCCTCGGAAACCCAAGGAGGGGTCACTATGAGTTGAGTCCGACTAGACGGCACATAACAACAACAACAACAACAACTAGTATCAAACCCAAAACCAAACTCACTGTCATGGAGTTGGATCTGACTCACAGCAACCCCTCCTTGGGTTTTCGAAGCAGTATCACTATGGAAATAGATTGCCCAACCTTAGTTCCAAGGAGTGGCTGGTGGGTTTGAACTCCCAATCCTCTGGTTAGCAGACAAATGCCTTAGGCACTACGCCACATGAGCTCCCAAGTAGCAACACTGGGGCAAAGTTAAGAATGCTTTTTCTGCTATTCTTTCAGGGTTAAGGGCACCATGGGGAATGAGCCTGTTCAAGTCATTTACTTTAAAATGGGGCAAGTAATAGAGAACTGAGTCTGAGTTGCAAACTAAGACAGAAGAAAATATCATAAATAATTCAAATAAATAATAAGAAAAATTATTTCTAAATCGGTAATATGAAAATTTGAGAAAACAACTCAGTTGACCCCAAATACTGTGTCTCACATTAACAACAAAGGAGCCTAACGGGGGGCGGGGGGGGGGGATAAGTGATTAGCAACAAATACTTTTAACCTCTACATTGCCTCTAGAGTTCAAAGTCTTTTCCCCCTTATATGAAAACAACCTCTTGCAGCCTTCAAGGGGCCTCCTATTAAAGAGTTCTGTAGAACAGAATTTTGCACTTTTGACCACATACCCCTGCATCTTTCCAGATTACAGTGCTAAAATATAGACTGTCCTAAAGTCTTTTCGTTGCCTAAATCATGTAAATTGGCCTTCTTTAGCCCTTTCCTGGCTCCTCTCTTGATGGACAGAGAAAGAGAAATGTGCCACATGTTCCAGGTGTGAAGATACAGTGATGACCCACGATTAAATTAATTTGAGGTCAAATTTCAAATTTCACTGGCTCTTCTGCCAAGTATAAATGAAAAGAAAAATGTGTTAAATCTTACAACTGTTATCAAAGCCTACCTGTCAGAGGATTAACTATTTCTCATTCTGTCTGTCTAAGCACCTGTAGCTTTTCCAACAGTCAACTTCAAAAAAAAAAAACCAAGAGTTCACTCGTGGGGGAAAGAAAGGAGTGTTCTTTTTCACTAATCCTTTGGAATCATTTCCTGAATTAATCATTTCTGAACCATCATTCTTTTCTGGGCTTGTGTTATTTTAAGAGTTTATCATTTACTATTTTTTAAAATTCTAGGAGATAAGTAGCATGAATACCAAAAATGCCAACCTGTGGGAAATCTACATTTCTTTTTTTCTTTTCCCCCTTTCTCCTTATAATCACTTAACTTCAGAGTCAGGTGGAACTTGGAAAAATCTTATAACCATGGACAACTTAGTTATCTCCTTATGTAACTGGTTCTGTCCTCTGTAGCCAAAGTAGTATGTTGCCGTTAGGTGCTATTAAGTCAATTTTGACTAACAGTCATCCCATGTGAGCAGAGCAGACTGCCTTATAGGGTTTCCTAGGATGCAATCTTTATGGAGAAGAAAGATTGATTGCCAGGTCTTTCTCCCTTGGACCCACTGGGTAGGTTTGAACCACTGACTTTTCAGTTAGCAACCTAGTTCTTAACTGTTGTACAATCAGGGCTCTTTAAAATAGTATTGTTGTCAGGTGCTGTAGAGTTGGCTCTGACTCATAGTAACCCAATGTAACATAACGAAACACTGCCCGGTTGTGCACCATCCTCATAATCCTTGCTATACCTGACCCCATCGTTGCAGCCACACTGTGCCAATCCATCTCGTTGTGGGTCTTCCCCTTTTTTGCTGACCCTCCACTTTACCAAGCATGTAAGTATTACTAATAAGAAGCATTTCATTATAAAGAAAACCAGAAAACCTAATGCATCCAACATTTTGTATCAGCATTTATTTTCTTAATCTGTTTTCCATAATGAAATACCAGCAATGAAAAGCAAACAAAAAACACCACTGCAGCTCCCAAACTGTGCACCATGTGCCCAAACTCCCAGTGTGTTATGTGATACTTTAAATTTTCAAGGGAAACTGATACTCTACTTGACATCACAAAAACTACAAGTTCTATGTATTTCAGATACATTAGTTGTTCTGTTCCTTCTGATGATATCATATCTTTGTGGAGTTTTCAGTAGTTGCTGTAACAAAAAACAAGTGCCATGCTAAAGATCAATGTGGTGCAGGAAATGAGGGTAGCAGTGATTCCAAGGTTTGAGAAGTCGGCACAGTGACTACCAGGAACGCATATCCCATTAGTAAGTAATTATGCTTATTTAAGAATGAAATACCATTTTTCTTTCAATTATGTGTATTATTTTTTTAAAACAGCTACTAAGTTGTTAGGATACAAATACTAGGTTTTTTAGATCAAATTGCTTAAAAATGAACTGATAGGTATTTCTTTTGGCCTAATGGCACCATGAGAACAAGTACTAATCACTAAGGGTGCCCTAGAGGAGCCCTGGTGGTGCAGTGGTTAAGTGCCTGGCTGCTAACTGAAAGGTCTGTGGTTTGAACCCAGCAGCCACTCCATGGGAGAAAAATGTGGCAATGTGTTTCCATAAAGATTTACAGCCTTAGAAACCCTCTAGGGCAATTCTACTCTGTCCTATAGGTCGCTATGAGTCAGAATTGACTGGATGCAATGGGTTTCATTTGGTTTTTGTAAGGGTAACCTGAACTGAAAAAGTTTGGGAACCTCTAGAATAAGACTCTTATTTCCTATCGGCACTTTCCCCATGCCAGCAAATTTTAAATCTCACTCTTCTGAATGCCCTCTTGGAAGTTATCTCTGCAAAAAGCCCTCCCACCTCAGTCTCAACAGAGGGCATCCTTATGGAACTATCTGTTTATCATCTGTGCAAAGAAGGCCTACCACTGTAATCCAACCCATGCCCCTAACAGTAACTCCCTTTGTTTCTTTTAAGAACCAACATTTGTAAGCAGGAGACAAGAGTACACTGGTTCCTAGCAGACTGGGCACATGGGACATGCACAGAAGACTCCAGCCTGGTCCTAAGACGACCTAGTGATTTATCCCACTGATCATGCTAAGGCTGCCGCTTTAAGAACATGTGATATATGACTGATGTACATGCCCTTAAACCACGCTAAAAATTCCTATGCATGAGATCTAGAATTTCAGTAAGTATGTATAACTTCCTTTCCAAGCCCTATAAAGATTTAACTCATGCTTACCTCTGGTAGTCAAATCTGAGGGATATTCCCCCTACCTCCTTACCTGTTGTTGTTATGTGCCATTGAGTTGTACCCGACTCATAGCGACCCTTCCTTGGGTTTCCGAGGCAGTATCACTACTGAAGTAGATTGCCCCATCTTCCTTCCGAGGAGTGGCTGGTGGGTTTGAACCACCAGTCTTCTGGTTAGCAGTCAAGTGCCTTAGGCACTACGCTACCAGAGCTCCTGACTTCCACACCTAACACTAAGTAAATAAAGCTACTTTCTCTTTCTCAAAGGCTGGTGTCCAGATATTATTCCGTGACTGCTGGACAGTGACCCTCCTTGGGTCACTACTACAACCACCTCACTGCTAAGCAACAATATAGAGTAAGGGTTAAGAGCAAGGGCTTTGGAGACCGACAGACAATGGGGAAGTTACTTGGCCTACCTGTGTTTTCTAATGTTGTAAAATGGGGATATTAATTCCTACCTCAGAGGATTACTGTACGGATTTAATGACAATAATAATAGCCACAGGCACTTTAATTTCATTTAAAGTATCTGAATATTGGCTCAGACCCTGGCACATAATAAACCTTCGATAAATGCTAGACATTATTTTTATCCCTATCCCAGTTAAAAGCATGACCACTGGGACTCTAAACTCCATTCTACTGGGCATCAGCCAGAGTGAGGTTAAGGATGGTACTCCTGGCGGCAACGAGTTGATGTCCTTACCCCAGCAGCAACAATAACATGGATCGTCGTAGGCAAGCAATTTTCTTTAAGTTTTCACAAACTCCGTGAAAGAAGAGATGGCTTAAAAAGACAAACTTCGACACAGGAAATACAATTCAGAGACAAGGTGGATCTATTCCTGGACCGTCCTCTCACAATAAAATAAATTTCAGGAAGTGGCTTATTATTTTCCTTTTAGGACGATTTTTTTCTCAACTCCCTTAGAGAACAGGAGAAGGTCCTCTAAATTTTGTTGATTTTCAAGGGCTGCAAGTCGCAAGCCGCCTCAAAATCATTTGCTTTTGTTTTTCCACTAGCAAGCTCAGTCATATGCAAAGTCACACCCCTGCCTCTCAGGTACCGCCCCTTCCCAGCTTAGACCAGCGCCCACCCAGCCCTTCCGCTTTCCTTTTCTACCCTCCTCTCCAATTCGGTTCCCCAAGCCCACACCTGGAGCATCTCCTGACAGAAAGCGCGCACCGAGCGCAAAGAGGCAAGATCCAACTCTTTGACGACGAGCTCCCCGGCCCCGCGGGCGTCGGGATCTGGCCTAGGGGCCTCGGCCTGGCTAAGCTCGCGGCGGAGCTGACCCGCCGCCTCTTCGGCGCGCGCGCGATCCCGGCAGCCCATGATCACTCGCGCCCCCAGGCGCAGCAGCTCGGCAGCAGTGGCACGGCCCAGGCCGCTGTTCGCCCCCGTGATCAGCACCGTCTTCCCGTGCATGAGGCTGGAGTCCCCACCGCCGTGAAGCCGCTGGACCCTGGACCCCAGGAACCTCCGGGCTGCCAGCCACAGCCCCCCACCCAGTGCGGCCAGTAGGGCCGCCACTGTAGCCACTGCCATGGCCGCCTAGGCCCCGAGGGCCCACCGGTCTCTGTGCTGGAGTCCTGGAAACACCGACTTTGTTAAACTGAAGCTGCCACCTGCACGCGAAGAACTCTGGGACCTGGCCGGTTGTCCCAGCTTGGTGCGGCGTGCAGCATGCTGGGATATGTAGTTCCTTTCTTAAAGCATGCATTCTGATTGGTTAGACGAGTACAGAAGCCCTGATGGCGTAGTGGTTTAGGGATCCTTTGTAACCGAAAGGTCAGCGGTTAAGATTCACCAGCTATTCTGCGGGAGACAGAGGTGGCAGCTTGTTACTCTAAGGATTACATCCTTGAAAACTATGTTGTTGTTGTTGTTATGTGCCGTGGAGTCGTACCGACTCATAGCGACCCCCCCCCCTTGGGTTTCCAAGGCAGTATCACTACGGAAGTAGATTGCCCCATCTTCCTTCCAAGGAGTGATTGGTGGGTTTGAACCACCAGCCTTCTGGTTAGCAGTCAAGTGCCTTAGGCACTACACTACGAAAACACTGTCCTACAGCATCGCGATGAGTCAGACTGGACTGGATGGCAGTGGATTTGGTTTAGTTTGGGTTTTGGACATGTACAAGGCTTGTGGTGTCCCCAGTGTAGCTTGTTCCCGGCTTAATGATGGATGCTGAACCAGGGACCTGAGTTTTCAGGCAGCTGGAGAGTCGCTATGAGTCGGAATCCACTCCATGGCAGTGGGTTTGGTTATTGGTTTGGAGTTCATAGCATTTGAAGTCCTAGAGTGTGGTCTTTCTTCCCCATGGGAATGCCTTGTGAGTAGTGTGGATTTACCAGTTTCTTGATAGGTCTGTTTTCAGATACTACAGTTCAGGGCTGGATTAGCTGTTTTCCTTTAAGAGTTCCTGTGACTTGTGAAACCATCAGTTCAGGTTACTTTCACCTTGAGAATGGACTCTGCCCAACTGAAGTCTGGGAGGGCTCCCCCTCAACCCCCACCCCATAGATAAGGGTAAGCACTCAGCAACAAGAATCAGCTGGAAATGTACTGAACAGTATTTCTCAAACTTTAGCCTGGAGGCTAAAGCACCTGGAGGACTTGTAAACTACAGAAATGTATGGCCCAGTGCCAGAATTTCTAATTGAGTTGCTCTGGGGATGAGACATGATAATTTGCATTTCTAAGACGCTCCCAAGTCATGGTGATGTGGCTGGCTGATTAGGAGTGGACACTAAAAGAACCATAGAAGGAGACCATTAAGGCAATGATCTCCATATTAAACCTATACTCAAATGGTCTTATTTGACATTGGCTGAAGTAAAGTTGGAAAAGCTTGGACTTAGTGTAAGGCACAGGTTTTGGCCCTACCATTCACAAATGCCATCCTCCCTACTCAATGGGACAATTAAATGTAATGATGGATGGGAAAGTATGTAATAAACTGTAAAATAATTCTTAACTGTCAGAGGTGACTGACACAGGGACACATCTTCAAGCTGAAAATTTTATAGCTTTAGACCAAACTACTTTTAAGACATCATTCATCTGCTCACCCATGTCACAAACATGCTCCTGTCCCTTACGATGTGGTATTAGCCACAGAGAAACAGGGCACCATTCCTGCCCTCAGGATGCTTTTTGTTATTAGATGCACTTATAGTGACACCCTGTACAACGGAATGAAACACTACCTGCTCCTGCACCATCCTCATGGTTGGTGCTATGCTTAAGCCTATTGTCCCAACCACTGTGTCAATCCGTTTCGTTGAGGGTCTTCCTTTTTCACTGACCCTCTAATTTACCAAGCATGATATCCATCTCCAGGGATGATCCCTTCTGCTGGTAATCCCAGAATCCCCTGGATGAAAGGAAAAAGGCATAACTTGTAAAGTTTAAAATAAGATGCCTAGATGATTTTGATAAGGCTTCTTTGCCTTCCTTCCATTTTAGAATGACACATCATATAACTAATATTCATAATACAAAGAAAAAGGGAGTGGATGCCAGGTGAAAGTCTTAAGGGTGCTAAAAATGGTTTCTGTGATGGGAAAAAGACTAGAAAAGAACTCTAGACTGATGACTAGAGGTCACGAAGAAAGGGAATCATGAGAGTTGGGCTTTTGCTCCCCTCTTTTCCTAATCTGAATTCTCTACTCAAACTCATGGAACCTCCAACAAGTTTACTTTCTTCCTTTCTATACATCTATATCATGCCTATCCTTCAAAACCCAACCCTGTTCCTCCATTTCCTGACTACTTCTAGCACATACATGCTGTACTTCCTCAACCTTATTCATGACCCTCATTTGGCACTAAGAACAAAGAATCCTCTATTGTTGGCTATTTGACTTTGCCAATTTGACTTCCTGTACTGGATTATTAAAGGTTGTAAATTTTCTAAAGGCTGGGATGTCTGAGTCCCACTTGTTGTCTTTATATAGGAGAATGGCTAGAAAATAATGTTGTTGTTGTTGTTATGTGCCGTTGAGTAGGACCCGACAAATAGCAACCCCTCCTTGGGTTTCCAAGGCAGTATCTCTACGGAAGTAGATTGCCACTTGATTTAGAGGCAGTAAGATTGCTGCTTTTTTTAAAATTATATATGTAACACAGAAAGAGCCAATATATAACTTTTGAAGTAAACAAGACCTACCATTTATTAACTGCCCATCTTTGAACAAGTTACCTATCTTTTTAAATCTTAGATTCCTCAATGATAAAGGAGAATACTAATATTATGTCACAAAAGTTTGGTTTGATGATAAAATGAGGTTATATGTGAAATAATATGTGAAAATAACGAGCCCACTTAACATGTGGTAGATTATGTTCATGTTGTTGTTGTTGTTGTTGTTGTTATTATGTGCTGTCGAGTTGGCCTTGACTCATAGCACCCCTCCTTGGGTTTCCGAGGCAATATCACTATGGAAGTAGATTGCCCAACCTTCCTTCTGGTGGGTTTGAACCACCAGCCTTCTGGTTAGCAGTCAAGTGCCTTAGGCACTATGCTACCAGAGCTCCCAGATTATGTTCATAGCCAACCAATATTCATTCAAAACAAAACATAATGGCAACAGTGAAGGGCCAGGAAATTCCACTTCATGTTAGATTTTGAAGTGGTGACCAAGGCTTTTTTTTTTTTTTTTTTTTTCCCCGTACAAGCATTAGACCAAACTGCTAAGCTCAAAGTCAGAGACTTCACATATGAAGCTCTATAGGGTGTGCAGATTCTACCTGTTATAGTTAGGTACCATCCAGTTGCTTCCCACTCATAATGACCCTATGTACACTTCTTGACCTTGCACCATCCACACACTCATTTGCTATGCTTGAGTCCATTGTTACAGCCACTGCATCAGCCCATCTCCTTGAGGGTCTTCCTCTTTTTTCCTATCTACTTTACCAAGCAGGATATCCTTCTCTAGAAACACTGTCCTCTGCCAACGTGCCCAAAGTTCGAGAGGCAAATTCTCACCATCTTAGCTTCCAAGCAGCATTCTTCGTCTGAAACAGATTTGTTCTTCTGGCAGTGCATGGTATATTTAATATTATTCATCAATACCATAATTCTATGCATCAATTCTTCTTTGATCTTCCTAATTCATTGCCAGATTTTAGGTTTGAGTCAGGCACACCTTAGTCTTCAAAGTGAAATCTTTGCTCTTTAACACCTTTTAAAGAGTTATTTTGCAGCAGATTTTCTCCATACAGTATGCCATGATTGCTTGAGTGCTGCTGCCATAAGCATTGATTGTGGATCCAAGTAAAATGAAATCCATGACCACTCCAGTCTTTTATCCAGTTACTGTAATTGTTGCTTATTGGTCCAGTTGTGAGGATTTTTGTTTTCTGTATGTGGAAGTGCAATCCATAGAGAAGGCTATATTTTATCTTCATCAGGAAATACTTCAAGTTCTCTTCATGTTCATCAAGCAAGGTTATGTCCTCCACATATCACAGCTTATTAATGATTCTTCCTCTAATCCTGATGCACATTCATATATTCCAGTTTCTCAGATAATTTGGTCAGCATACAGATTGAATAAATATGGTGAAAAAATACAACTTTGATGCACACCTTTCCTGATTTTAAGCCATGCAGTATCCCCGTGTTCTGTTTGAATGACTGCCTCTGGTTTATGTACAGGTTCCTTATGAGCACAATTAAGTGTTTTGGAATTCTCATTCTTCACAATGTTATCCATTATTTGTTATGATCCACACAACTGAATGCCTTTGCATAGTCAATAAAACAGAGGTAAACATCTTTTTAGTATTCTGTGTTTTCAGCAAAGATCTGTCTGACATCAAGAGCGATACTCCTTATTCCACATTCTCTTCTCAATCTGCTTTGAATTTCTCCAATGCCCTGTCTATGTATGACTGTGATAATTTTTTAATTATTTTCAACAAAATGTTACTTGCTTGTGATATTAATGATGTTATTGTTGTTAGGTGCCATGGAGTAATTTCTGACTCATAGTGACCCTGTGTACAAAAGAATGAATTACAACCTGGTCTTGAGCTATCTTTACACTTGTTAGTTTAAACCTGCTTTTGCAGCCATCTTGTTGAGGATTGCCTTCTTTTTCACTGATGTACCACCTAACCTTCTCTAGGGACTGGTCCCTCCTGATGACATGACCAAAGTATGAGAGACCACATCTCACCATCCTCACTTCTAAGGAGCATTTTGGTTGTACTTCCTCCAAGACAGATTTATTTGTTCTTCTGGCAGTCCATTCATTGTTCTTTACCAACACCTAATTCAAAGGAATAGATTATTCTTTGTTGTTGTTGTTGTTGTTGTTAAGTGCCGTTGAGTCATTTCCGACTCATAGTGACCCCATGCACAGCAGAACGAAACACTGCCCGATGCCACGCCAGCCCCACAATCCCTGCTATACTTGAGCTCATCATTGCAGCCACCATATAAATCCATCTTGTTGAAGGCCTCCCCCTCTTTCGTCAACCCTCCACCCTACCAAGCATGACATCTTTCTTCAGGGAATGGTCCCTTCTTACAACATGACCAAAACAGGTGAGAAGAAGTCTGGCCATTCTTGCTTCCAAGGAGCATTCTGGCTGCACTTCCTCCAGGACAGATCTGTTA